CTTATGTCCGGTGGCTGCTTGCGTGGTGCGGAATGCAAACGAACGGATCTTTCTTTCAAGAAATTTTCACTGAAAAATGATTCCCCGTGAATACAAAAAGATCTCGTTAATTAATCGGCATTATTTGTCATTTGTTCCATCGGCTGTTTGGAAATGATGTCCGCGTCCATATTTTGCGGCGTAGAAGGTTGTCCAAAATGGACATTGCGAAAGGGTGACAGTCATGACTGGATATGTCGGCGCCCTTTTTCCAGAAAAGTCAGGAAGTCTCGCTCACCGCACGCACCAAAAACGAGGCGGCGGGGAGAGCTAAGATCACTTTGCCTGCACAAAAAAAAAGTACACATGCAGTGATCATTTTACGGTGTGAGTCCCGTGGGACTCGCTGATCAGAAAAGTCCATGATGCAGTTCGAGAGTCTCAAATTTCGAATTCTGAAACGGTCAACTTATTCAATCGCATATGATAAGCACACAAACAACAACAACATACATTGATCATCGGTTTATTTCTTATATGTAAATAATTCAGGCATACAAGATTATTATCGCCAAAAAAAACCCCAAAAAAAAAAACGATCCAACTTTAGCTGCTTCCTCCGTGATATCCCCGCAATAAACTTTCGCAACACTTGTTTTAGCGTTCCACGTCTTGGCCATCGTCTGCTTTTCCGCGCGGCGAAGGCCGATCTCGCCAATCTCATCTCGCGAGAACGGAAACCTCGTCACGCAAGATCAAAACAACAACGGCGGCGGCGATTGTCAAACTGCGATCGTTGCCGGAAAAAAAGATTTACCGTGTTTTTTTGGTTTTTTTTGACTGAGAAATTTCCTTGCGTCCCAAAAACTCACATTATTCGGAACTGTGCATCCCGCGGGAAATTTATGAACGTGGAACAAATGCAAAAAAAAAAGCGTCACGTGCCGCAGCAAACGCCGTCATTCGGAGCAAATGAAATCTGTCGCGTTTCCCCAAACGCCTCGCGAGGCGTCAACCAGGAACACGTTGAAAAGCTCACAAAGGTGCCGGGAGGCAAAGGCCAGGGACGCTTTGCGACCGGCAGGCCTTCCTCACCCTGCGGTCGAACACTCCCTGATCTTCGCAAGCCTTCCTTGTACGTACGTGTCTTGTCACGGCAAGGCCAAATATGGCGCGAAAGGATTTCTTTTGCAAAAAATGTCAATAATTCAGGCATACAAGATTATTATCGCCAAAAAAAAAAAAAAACGATCCAATTTTAGCTGCTTCCTCTGCGATATCTCCGCAATAAACTTTCGCAACACCTGTTTTAACTTGGCAATCAATCGTCTGCTTTCCGCGCGGCGAAGGCCGATCTCGCCGATCTCGTCTCGCGAGATTACGTCACTCACGCGAGATCAAAACAACAATGGCGGCGATTGTCAAACTGCGATCGTTGCTCGAAAAAAGATTTACCGTAGTGTTTTTTTTTTTTGTTTGTTTGTTTTTTTTCCCGAGAAATTTCCTTGCGTCCCAAAAACGCACGTTATTTGGAACTGTGCGGGAAAATTTTGCGTCTATGACTGGGGGGGGGTAGCGCTTTTCCGGCTTGGTCTCCGCTTGTGGCCAGGCGGGGGTGCTCTCACGTGATGCTACCAAACCAATCAAATCGCACGTGTTCCCTACAGCTGTGCCGACTTGTCGGAGCCAAGTAAGGATTTCTACCCAAAAAAAACCCCCCCCACCACCGCCGACAGGCGACTTTCTCGATTTCCGTGTTGGGATGCTCGCCAACGAGCCCTTTCTTTGAGTGGCTCATTCGGGGTGAATGATGAGACTGCATTCGGTTTGGTTTGTGTGTTTGTTGTTTGAGCTCGGGGGATGGAATTCTTGAGTCTCTGTTGCTAACTCCCACTGTCGCAGACGGAAGAGTCATGTCTCGGAAAATCATTTTGAGAAAAGAGTGCGTGTGGACCCCGCCCGGTTCATTGGGCGCAAAATTTTTGTCTGGTGAAAAACTCCCCGGCCGCCCCTCCCGAATGTCTCCTTTCCAACGAGCGCGATGCTCTCGCGCTAGTTTTTTTTTTTTGTTTTTGTTTTTGAAGGCGCCGCGCGCGACAGTTTCAAGTGGCGGGCGAGTCGTCAGAATCGCCGGGCGCCGCCGTAACTGACAAGTTAATTGCCGCCGCCGCCGGCACCAAAAGCGGCCTCACATCCTTCAAAAGTGCACCGAAAAGACTGGGGGCGGGCGATGCGGCCCGACCAGTCCGACGGCAGCGTTCTCCCCGACGTACGCAAAGCCACTTTTTTGGCGACCTTGATAATAGCCCTCGACGACAAGCGACAACATTCTCGAGCGAACGCGCAACGGGAAAGCAAAAGGCAGGTCTTGAGACTTAAGGGCGTCGCGTCGCGGACGCCGCTCAGATGAGGGCCGCGCTGATGGACGTAAGCGGCCATGGATCTCGCCGGCCGCGATGGCCAAAAGGGTCCCAAAAGCGCTGCCCCGTGTTTCATTGTGTGTGTGTGTGTCCCTCCTCTTCCAGGACTTCTACGATGAGCAGGGCGTCTTCAGCGAGAGTTTCTGGCCGCCCAGCGAGCCTCCTCAAGCCATGGCGTATAATCCCAGGGGACGGGTCAGCAAGCCTCTGACTCCACCGCCAACCTCGCAGTCCATCAACAACCAGGTACGCGCTTGGGGACGGCGGAACGCAAAACGCCCGCGGGCCGCCGGAAACGCCGTCGGACGCGTCGCCCGTCGGAAATCATTCCCGAGATGCGTTGTCGAGCTTGCGCTTGAGCGTGCTCGCATCGCCGATGAGTATTGTGGTGGAGCAGGTTATTGTGTACTTTGTACCTTAATTGGGCTCCTTCACACGCCATCAGATCATCGATCGAATTTCGTTTCAGATTTTCTCCGGAACAGTAGAAAGTTGTGTCGTCGGCAAGTAAGATACATTGAAGTCGTCGTGGCGGGTATCATTTCGATACAAAATGAATAGTTTGGGGCCTAGCGCAGCCCCTTGAGGCACCCCATGAGTGATCATCGAGAGCTTTAATTGGATGTTGTTGAACTGCACATCCTGAGACCGATTATCGGGAAAAAAAAAACCTTTTATCCCTCTATATGCGACACCTCCAATGCCATATCAAAAGCCTTTTGAGCCGCCAGCCCCCTCCCAATAAAATCGTCTCTTTTTTATAATGGTCAAAAATGGGCACTTTTTTTTTTTTTTTTTTTTTTGGATACTTGCAGAACCACCTAAAAATAATGTTTTTTTTTTTTTTGAAAAAAATCAGTTTTCCAGAGAAATGTAGTCAACCGTCAAATGTTCTGCCTGTTTTTTTTCATCTCTTTATTGTTGTAAACGTGATTTTAGTCATGGTCTATTTTTTTAAAAATTATTCGGTCGATTAATTGTTGGTCGGAATTTTATAGCGCCAGATATCGAAATCAGCATCTGCCTAAAAAAAAGAAAATCCATATTGGTCCGGCCCCTTAAAAAAAAAAAACAAAAACGAAAAAGAAAATAAATAAATAAATTTCAACAAGACAAATGTTTCTCATGGTTTTTTTTTTGACCAAGAAAAATTGTGCGCTCGTGATGTCGCCTGTCATAAAAACGCGCAGCCATGACATGACCATAAAAATATCCTGAAATGTAAAAACAATATTTGCCACTTTTTGCTTCAGTTCACTGGACAGTGCGCCGCTTCTTCCGGTGTCCTCATCTTGGCCACCCGGGGGCAGCAAAATGCAGCCCTCGTGAAACCGCAACGCCGTTAAGCGCTTCTCGGCGGCCCCCCGAGACTTTATTCTAATAATAAACGGTCGCGAAAGAAATATGACCTCAAGCCGCCGACGAAGCCCAAATCTCATCCGACGCTCGGCGCGGCGCGGCGCGCAGCTTCTTTTCCAGTACCCGGTGAGCCAATCGCAGCCGCCGCCGTTCTACATGGGAGGGATGGACACCTTGGCGGGCGCGGAGTCACAGGCCCCGCCCCCGGCCCCCATGACACCGGCGCCGGCGCCGCCCTCCACCGGCCCCGCCTGCTCTTCGGGCCCCTCGCCTTCCTCCCAAGGATCCGAGACGTCCTTCGACTGCACGCACTGTGGCAAATCCTTACGTTCCAGGAAGAACTACAGCAAGCACATGTTCATCCACTCCGGTGAGTTCCACGTCGAAGCGAGCTCGATACGGATCGCGATTACGGTTCCGTTTTGAAGCCGAGCAAACGGCTTTTGGTGGGATTGCCGTTCAATGGGAGGCGTGGCCAAAAATGCAGAAAACAGTCCACGTCACAACAGCACCATGTGACAAAAACAAAGACAAAAAAACGCAAGGCTCTCGAAGAGCACTTGCCCGACCGCTGCCTACTCGGCTGCCATCTTGGAAAAAAAAAAGAAGGAGGGAAAAAATGTGTCGATTGTTAAAACCGTAACAACAACAAAAAAATGGAAGATTCCAATTTGGATTTTACAAAACTGTAATCCTAAAACAATTGTCTTTTTTTTTTTTTTATCCCTTTTGTAATATTCACGGTTTAATTTGATGATTTTAATTCCTGTTTTTTTGCACATGACATTTTGACAATTTTTTTTTTAAAAAAAATCTTCATCGCTGAATTTTCTTGTCGTTATTTTTAGGATATTTTCGCACTGCTACGACTCTAAACTTTAGTCTCGGTTCATTATTGAAAAAGCAAAAAAAAAAATCGACGAGAGCCGACATTCCAGCTGTCACTCAAAGCGCCCCTCCCCCCCCCGTGCGCATACCTACCCCCCACGCAGGTCAGAAACCTCACCAGTGCTCCATCTGCTGGCGCTCCTTCTCCCTGCGCGACTACCTCCTCAAGCACATGGTGGTGCACACGGGCGTGCGCGCCTTCCAGTGCTCCATGTGCGGCAAGCGCTTCACGCAGAAGAGCTCGCTCAACGTGCACATGCGCACGCACCGCGCCGAGCGCACCTTCCAGTGCAACGTGTGCCACCGGGCCTTCACCCACCGCACCTTGCTGGAGCGCCACGCCCTGCAGCACGCC